AGAAAATATGATCTGTCATTCAACAGCATTAAAAGTTTTTCGAATGGATTTTCTTGACTTGTTAGTAATTATTTCACTAGGTGCGTCATATTACATATTTCTGATTAACCTTGATTTAACTATTTTTTTATTTCCTTTAAAGACCTCCATAAGTTGTATCTTTCAACAATTCGCGAAATATACCCACTAAGACATTGAAATAAGAACAAATTAGTTCAGCGAAGAGTCTCTTTTCGGCGAATTCATTCACTTAGCTGTACAGTCGCAAATATATATACAATTATTTTGTGTGTGTGTGTGTGTGTGTACATTAGGTTTGTCAAAATCAAAATAACAGTTAGTGTGGGTTGTTGATTATATCATCAAAATAATGAAGAAGTTAAAATGTGTGATTAATAATCAAAGTTGTAACTACGTGGGGTGAAGATTGGTAAGATGTGAGTAGAGTTACATCATCAAAATAATGAAGAAGTTAAAATGTGTGATTAATCATCAAAATTGTACCTTGAACAGATCAGTACACAGAAAACCTACGTGGAACGGTCAGTTGACAAACTTCTACAGTTGGGCACCAATAAGTGGCAAGCGAAATTTGATAATATCTCTGGCGACTAGAATCCGAAAAATCTGTAGTCCTGAATCAATAGAGGAAGAGATCACTCTCTTAAGGAAGACACCGCTCGAGAATGGCTACCCACCCCGTTTTATAGACAAGCACATTAAGCCTAAGACATACAAAGAACAACCCATTACAGTGCAGAAGAAGATGGTCTGAATGAATGAACCCTTCAAAGGTGACCTTCTGGCTGACACCTTGAAGAAGAGGATATCTACTGCTCTCAGAAGGACATTCTTCGCTGCCACACTACGACTGACATTTTCCTCCCGGCCATTGTTCTTCAACTACTCTAAAGATAAACTATCGCATTTGACCACTTCCATGTGTATCTACCAATTCACCTGCTCTTGCGGAGCGAGGTATATAGGTCGTTCGATGCGTGTTTTATCTAAAAGAGTTCAAGAACACTAACCCGCCTGGTTACGGAAAGGTAACAACGGAGCAAAAAGGAGCGCCATTATTGAGCATATACTCAACACTGGTCATTCGATTTGCAAGGAGAAGTCGTTCAAAGTCATCTATAAAGTCAAAAGAAGCCTTCCAAAATCGACAAGCTTCCGTATACTTTGTATTGCTGAAGCCTTAGCGATTTGGATGGAAAAGCCTGAGTTATGCACACAGAAGAAACTTCTCCACCCCCTCCTACTACCGTGGGTTTAATTTCAAGTTTATATGTCATCAACATTTTGTTATCAAATTTTTTTTGGAATTTTTCGTATAACAATTTTAGTAACTAACCCATTCAATTTTTTTACCTATTATCTAGTTTATTTTCATAATTGTCTCCAAACTCCTTCACTAGCATCTAATCTTTCTAAACATGTCTATATTACGTAAACCTACTCACATCTTACCAATCTTCACCCCACTTAGTTACAACCTTGATTATTAATCACACATTTTAACTTCTTCATTATTTTGATGATATAATCAACAACCCACACTAACTGTTATTTTGATTTTGACAAACCTAATGTACACACACACACACACAAAATAATTGTATATATATTTGCGACTGTACAGCTAAGTGAATGAATTCGCCGAAAAGAGACTCTTCGCTGAACTAATTTGTTCTTATTTCTTTCAACAATGTCATTTTCTTGTTTACCTCCGTCTTTTGTGCGACTGCTAAATATAGCAGCATGAACTAGAGAGTTTCTGTACAAGCTTCATTAATCTGTCTACCTTCTATCTTAATTTAAACCCGTTCATTTAAATCTATGTATACTTAACAGTAGTAAATTTTCTCTTATTCCTTATATGTAGTATTTAGCACATACGTCAGTCTGAATTAATGATTTAGTGCACAATGTTTGCTGTACGGTTTTATCAGTGTATATGTATAGTTAGTTAAACCACAAAAAATAAACCATGTTATATCAAATGGTGTTATTTAGAGTTTCTTGACTGTCTTTTGTAAAACTTTTATTTACATATATCAAACACTATTTGGTTATTATTGATTCTTAACCTGACTTTGGATTTGTGGAAGAATCAACCGAATTACTGCAGACATAGTACTTTTAAATATAATAAAAGGTAGAAAGAATGTTTAATTTTTAAATAAACCATATGTACTTTGTAGATTGAAATCAAAGTTATGCTAAGGCTTATTACTGAGTAATGCTTTTTGTTTATTTTTTAACAAAATTCGAAATACTATTGATATTTATATGCTTATGTTATAGGTTAAACATTTGGAATGCAAGTAAGATCTAAGAATACTATTCACAGACAATGAAATTCATCTACAATGATCAGGTGCTAAATACGATTCTTTATGAGTAAAATCCAAAAATGTCTACATGCCAGATTTTGTATATGTAATGAAATGATGACTGCAGTGAAAATTAAAACTTGAGTAACAAAGTACCATTGTGTCATATTAACTACCTTACGATATCCATTTGCTAATCATATCTCTGTTCGCCCTTCACATTCACAGAAAATTTCATCCAACGGTTTCTATTCATTTAAAACATGATCAAACCTAGCTGTATAAACAGATGGCACATAGACGACTTTGTCAGGTGACCGTAAACGCTCATATCAACACTTCAAAGTGTGTGTGGTTATTTAATATAAACTATGAGTGATTTCAACACTCTGTTGTTTATTCTATTTTTAAACACATCAGAAACATTGTTACTACATTTTATAGGCGATAATTAAGGTAAAATGCAAACAATTCCTACGATCCACCCTGCATAACCAATAAGCCCGACATATCCAAATACATACTATTAAAAAGTCTAATGTTAATCAAAAGTGTGTTAACTAACATTACCCTAAAACATGCACACAGACAAACAAACAACAGAATAATCTTAACGCAATGTGTGACTCTAGTAGTTGTAGTAGTTAAATGTAGTAGTACAGCATTATTCTCTCAAAAATAAACGAAAAATGGAATACAATACAATTCTTAAAAAAACAGCAGAAATGAAATATCATTGAATGATTGTACATAAACAATTGAACATTTGGTGCTTTTCTCAAGTAAATTTAATCGCTAGAAAAATTCACATGCCTATATAACTACGCATACAAATATGCATAAATGTTTTAACATACTAATCTTTCATCAAACAAATTTAATAATATGATCCACTCAATAGGTGTACAGATAGATGCAAACTAAAGGAAAACACCGATTTATGCCAACCAGTATACAACTGAGCCAAGTCAAAATGAGGATAAGTAACTGTGTAGATCAAGATTTTATCGTTGAAATATTCTGAGATAATGAGAAAAAGCAGTTATTTCCTCAGCGATGATTTAACTTTAGCTGAGGTGCTATTCAAACCGGTTTAGAAAGCCCTTCTACGCAATTTGTCAAATAGGTAGAATACATACGAATGGCTTTCAGTCAGATGACAATTGAAACTATATGACAGAAACGAAGGTATTTATAGGTATTATAGAACCTGACAGTATGATTGCCGATTTTTGTGTTGATACAGCCTAATCTCTAAATAATGTATGCGCTTATTTATCTTGTCTAGCATTACTATCCAGCTAATAGAAACCAACACCATTAAAAGTATCTTCATGATTTTGAAATATTCTCCTAACTCATCTAGAATTTAATAAATTTCATTCATATTCAGAAGTTGGCTGTATACTTGCGATATTTACTTTTCAAAACTGAATGGTTTCAACTAAAGATTTCTGAAATCTCTGCTTTTACAGTGCTCCTGGTAACCTTTGCCAAAAACATTATACAATATAGGATGAAAAGTTATCAACCTTTATAGTGACCATCTACCCATTTGTTGAAGTTAGCCGATGACAACAGCTTTCATAAACTAAACGAGATTCACACAAATTCACTTAAGGTGAACGTTGTACTTCGATACGGGAATCGGCTAGAACACTAGAGACACTATCATAGACCTCAGATAGAATTAAATTCGGCTGCCTAATAAGCTTACCTCTTTTTTACCGATTCCACTAAATGCAGTCTCCATTTCACTACGTTTTTATAGAATTATACTTTGTATGTACTGCACATTTTCAAGCACATCATCAAGCTTCTGTTATAAACAATTAAAAACGGTAAGAATCTTACAAAAATTATCGGATCGTAGATCTCATGAAGCATCATATTATTGAGAGTTAAATATTATCCACTAGACCTCACAAAATAGATATGGCTTATTGCTGTGTAAAGAAAGATATAATTGACCACCAGGATGAATTATGATAAGCACTGCTTTAACAATGCATTTTTAAGATAATTAAAAATATTTTATAGGTCAGAGTATTCACTTTGCAACCGAAATAATGATCTACTACCTTGAGATGGCTGGAAACAAATGCCAAGATCACGCACTAATCATAATTCACAACGCAGCCTTCATTCTTGTAATTTTTTTTCCTGCACGTTCCCCAGTGGAACATAAGGCTTCAAGCTAGTGGCTTGAAGTTTCTGTAGCAGTGTTTATTTTACAGGATGGGGTTGCTAGCCTCATGCCCAACCTTTCCTCTTTACCAGCATTATTTCTGGCTGAGCGAGGTAAAGGAGTGTGTCGACCGGGGATCGAACCCCGGACCATGTGCATGGTCGGCGAGCGTCCCAACCGCTATACCACTGACGCACATTCTTGTAATTTTACCTTTTAAAAATGCATTACTATTAAGTTAACGTCAGTAGTCCAGCGGTAGAAAGCTTTTCAACAACTCACGTGGTCCAGGGTTTGAACCTCGGCCAATAGACTCCTAAATCTCGCTATGCTGGAAATAAGGCCAGTAAAGAAGGAAGGTTAGGCGTGTGGCTGTCAACCCCACCATGTAAAAATAAAACCATTGCTACCAAAACTTCAAAGCACTTAAAGGGAAAAAGTAGTGAGTTTCAAAAATAAATACGCTAACTTACTTGGAATATAGAGTGAGTCAATCACTGATGGACCAGAGCGATAAAATATGTAATCTAATCTTTCACCATTTCCGTATTCATTGGTCCATAACTGATTTCTATACGGGTTATCAGCTCGATCACATGTACACCCATCAGATTCCAGTTCCGTAATGTTTGGATTTTTCTTGGCTATAGCCTTCACCGAAGACAAAGGAAAACAAAAGGACAAAAGTGATATAAATAATAACAGTGTGCCTGCATGTTACACAGGCAACAATAATTCGAGAAATAAAGCGATGGAAATATCGTAACCATCGGTCTTTGATACAATATTACAAAAAAGATAAATAATAGAATGTGGTATTACAGTAACGAAAAACATGAACCAAAAGTACGTTTGTTTTACGGAGGTCAGTTATGAGACACCACTTAAATTCTCTACTTCTGGTCTCTGATTTCCAAAAGAACCAAATCTAAGAAACGAACATTATCCTATGAGATCCAGACCGAAAGTCAGTGACTTCATAAATTAGTGTTGAGCTTAGATTGTTTACTCACAGCTTTTCTCCAACCAATTTGCATTTATACTAACTTAAAACGGTGAGTATGCATGAGCATTACATAACTCAACTACCTAAAGTTACGAAGATTTATAGCATCGCTGACACCGATATTACTTGAGTCTCTACGCTGAAATGCAACACTGCTTAAGAGGTGGTTTTACGAAGCACAAGCAGTGGTGTAAGGGGAAGGATGCTCGTCAGCCACACAGATCTACTTTTAATGCCCATATTTCAAAGTCACACAGTAGGAAATAATACACTACTGTGCAGTAATATCAGATATCTAATCTAGGCTACAAATAAAAGTAAGCAAAGTCCAAACGAGAACTCCGCGCAGCGGCTGCGATTTCGTCAGCCACTTTCCAAGCAGGTGAAGTGTTTGAAATTCTCAAATAACTTACTCCACATTAATATCAAGGTAATATACATGAAACCCAGTTTATTTGGCAGTATATGATATCTGATTTAAATCAAGATGAAACGAGGATTTTATTAGGAATGAAAATATGGTTACTGTCACTATTATTATTGTTGTTTTCATTATTGACAGATACCGTAGGAAATTAAGGGATAATCCAATGGAGGAATGATGACAAAATATGTTATACCATTTTTTTTCACTATACAACCCCTTAAAATTTCCTCTTGTTAAATTTTACGACCAGTGTTCAGAACTTTGCTGAACGGAAGCTTTTTAACAATAATAAAGGTTTATTTCAGACAATATATTGACATAGCACAGAAATTCTCAGCGTATCTAGTTCCAAAATATTTCACCTCCATGCAGGATTTACATGTAAGGTAACAATATGAAGTATATCATGTAGCATAGTGTTGATGTATATGAAGAAAGAACTAATTCTGTACATTTTTCTTGCCTTTTTTTAAGAATTGCACAGCGCTTTGCTGAATGCTAACTAGATATGTGCACTAGTTCACGAAATGATCATCTGATATAGTTCCATGATTAAAACAAGAAATGAAGAAGAGTTTAAACATTTTAATGGATGGAAATTCCGGTAGCCCAGTGATTAAAGCAGTATTGCTTTTAACAATATCTTATTATTTAATATCAATATAAAATATATAAATACATATTCAACAACTCAATCCTGGAAATCAGCAAGAAATTTTAGATTATAATCACAACCTCTGTTAACAAATGTATACAAATGAGTAATTACATTCACATTCTTAAATGCTAACCCAACTTTTATTGCTCCTTGAATCTGATCTTACTTCATTCTATAGACTGATTCAGATATGAACCGAAGCTTGAGTTGTGACACACTGTCTAGGAATCTGAGTTTCAACCACTAGGTCCAAACCTTACTGTACTTTAGCAGTCAGATAGTATCACTACCCTCGGCAAAATAACTCAGACTAACTTTGTAGTTTAGATCTGTAGGTTAGTAGGTTATTGTTCGATTCCCACTACGCAGTGTGATATCACAATTCATCATATTACTGAATGAACTTCACAGACTGATACATAAATTTAAAGTACTTGGTTAAATTACATTATTATTCACTGTGGTAAAATATTCAAAGTTTTGTTGGATATTCTTCTTTTACGGTATAGACTATTACTAGAGCATTCACACTGAATTCTTTTTTCCACATCATTAATGAGTAAATAGCTCAATAAATAGTAAACGAGATCCAGGTACAACTTATTCCCATGAATTATTTACTTACTGGGAAAAAAAATCCTTGCTAACTGTTTACAATAGCCTATGAATTTATTCAAAAAGCAAACTTGAATATTCACACCGTTTGTATCAAATAACAAGGTAATTACTAATGCCGCCTTTGAATAAAATGAATATGACGTTTCAGTGTCTGTTTTTATTTAATTATTGGTTTGTAGAGAATTTCAATATGGAAAAAATCCCTATTTCTTTCTGTTTTCTAAATGTAGAGAATTTGTTTGATTGGTTAGAGGATTTCATCATTGTATATCTTACTACTTGTTGAAGGTTTTACTGAATCGTAAAGCAATTTGTTCTGTCGTACATTAACACTACAAAGTACGACTATTACAGGTGAAACTCAAACGAACGATTCATTAAAGAGCACTGTATATTATTGTCTTTACCATTTATTTAATAAAAAAAACTCGGACACTGAGGAATGTACCACACAAAATAATAAGCCAATAATAATAAAGGAGAGGAAAGGAAAAAGAAGACAATTAGTGACTCCATTGCATAATGCTAGGAGAAGAAGAATATTTCTATTGCATTAGCATCTGCGGAAACATGAGTGTGGTTCAACCGACCATATGGAACCATAGCATACTTCATAATCAAAATCAGTGGTGAACATGCTGCAACTTTTTTTCTTCCATTCTGTTTTGGCAAATAACACTTATTAATTAACGTTAATTTGAATACTGTTGATACATACTCTTATGTTTCCTTCCTGTTTTTCAAACATTTTTCGTTTCACCTATATTGTTGCTCCGTTATTTTGTGCTGACCACGCCTTGGTGCCCAAGTTTATGTTTAAATTGATAATTATGAAAATAAGAAGGGTAAAAACCAGCCCTTCGGAATCATTTTACAAACCTAAACTTTTGTTTAAGTATTCGGAAGAACCTGTGCTCCGCCAACCTCATCACCTAAACGAAATATGTCGTCTGGGCATTCTAAATTAACCATAACTTACTCTGGTTGTAAATAAAGTCCTGAGCAGTTGATAACAATAATATTCATATCAGAACGTCAATAGTAAAATTAAATACGAAAAGTGGGATAGGATATCGTTGATGATCACTTATAGGTGTCAGCATTTCACATGACTATTTTCCGTAAATTCTCACGCAACTCTAAGGGTTTTCATTTCCTGCTCACATGATCTTGTCTATGTCACCGCGTCGGTGGCACAGTGGTTAGGACTCTCGCCGACTATGCACATGGTCCGGGGTTCGATCCCCTGCCGACGCACACCTGATATCTATGGTCGGCCTGCAAAATTTGGGCTACCGATATCCATGCTGAAAATTCCATACCTGTACTGAAAAATACGGTGTGAAATCAAGCTGTTATCAAAACATAAAACAAACACACCCAACTTGTTGGCTCCTATTCGGTCTGGCGTGTGATGTCATTTGGTGTTCTCTTATCTAACTACGTAATTATTATTAATTTTTTGTTACCACCATAACAACGAATCTGTCAGTTAATTTTCTAGAAAACTCTCTCTAATAAGATAAATAAATATATATTTACACTGTAGTACTTCAGCTACCTTGTCGTCCTGATGTTTTATCTCAGTATGACGCTCTTAAAATATGCCTGCTGATAGACAAAAGTATATTAAATTTTACACTGACTTATATCTATAAAACATTATAGTTTGTATGCTGTGATGAAAAGCGACGAAATAAAGTGGATCCATGTTATTCTGCACCAGCGTTTGTTCTTTCTCTGTTCAAATGTTTGTTCACTGAACAAAACTGTGTTTTTCCCTACTAGTGAAAAATAGGTTTATCTAGTGATTTGAAGAAATTCAAAGAGCCGGTTACATTCAAGGGACTTTGATATTCTGTCAACCTTGCAGAAACGAAGACAAATGTTGATGCTATTAAAAATAAATACGACAAAATTGACTTGTTGATCTGGGGGTCAGTTACTACGAAACATTAAAACCGCATATGTTGATCATCAGCCTCAGTGAAAGCATCAGCTGACAACATATATCTTGAATTTCAATACCTTGATTATTTCATAAGATGTTTCCGTTGAACGTGTTTGAACTCTAAAGCTGTATACTTGTACATAACCATTAAACATTCATTCTGATATCACTGTAGGTGAACAGTTTTAATGCAGTCAACTGAGAACATTTCACTGATTACATGATTATTGAAGGATATAATTATTATTATTCTTTAGGGTATTAAGTGGAACATAGGGCTTCGGAGGTACACCCCCATTTCACATAGATATTAACAAAATTCCATTTTACCACTTTAAAAGATGAATTCATTGAAAAGGATATCATTCCATTCACTGAACTACTTTTTTTATTTGGTGTAAAATCCATTTCCCACAGTATACATCATTACTTACTTTTACTTTACTTCGGCTATCTCCTATGGGAGGATGAGCCGGCTTCATGAACATCTCGAATCATCGCTGCCCAGGCACGGCGATCTGATGCAAGGTTTTGAGACAGGGTTTTCCAATTCTTGTTCCACAGACGGAGTCCGTAGACGGTTTGTAGCCCCAGGCACTCTATATCAGCCTTGACTGTACCACGTTTGTAAGAGAGTTCATGAAGTTTCATGGGAATTTGGTACGAGTGATGTCCCCAGAATCGCTCGGCCTTTTGTTTGAGAGTGCAGCTCTAGCCTTTACACAACCAAGTGTGAACTACAAGGCAGTAGGAGTGGAGTAGGGAGTCCACTATCCATTAGCAGCCGGTGACCGCAGTTCGGTTCATACGCCTTTTTGAATGGGGCCAGACATCCAGGACATCCAACAAGCCCTTTGTCCATACGTCTGCCGGTGAGCTCCAGTGAGCTTCATACGCCAGTCGTTGGAGGTTTGGAATCAGGGTTTAGCCATCTCCCCTAGACTGTCATCCAATGGACAGTCAACCCGGTGAAGAGCGCCGGGCATCCGCT